AGTAGTGAACTGTGTGCTAAATCTGGAGGCAACTTAATATTGTCCAGATTCAATTCGGTTCACTTAAAATTTTTTTTATTAATGTGTGAAATTGCTATTAGTTAAAGGGAAATTCCATGATATTGTAACTCTTTTTATGTATGTTTCCTGCAGTTGTTGTGGATGCTGAAGGATTGCATCTTCTGTAGCAGTTTTAGTGCAGCTCTGAAGAAGCTATTTGAAACATTGAGAGTATGCTGCTGTTTTATGACAGTCTGGTAAAACGATACTCAGGGTTTGTAATCTTCTGAATCATGTACTCTGACCAATTATCTCCAAAGGTTTTAGAGCAGCTTTCAGAACAGAGTCAGTCTGAATTATCAGCTTGTTGAGCTTGTTTAGGTCTCTGGTTTTCATGCTTCCATTGCATATGTAAATATGTTAGAATGAGAATAGTCAACACATTGTCAGCATAATACTTTTTTATTGACATATTGGCATTGATTGTGAAGAAATAACAGTATTTCCTCACAACGCTGCAATATCTAAACTATACTTTATGATAACCTTCAAACTAAATATGAAAAAGTTCTCCTCCCCTTTCACTAAAACTTCTCTTTAGCAGATCATTATCAGATAATGCAGTAATAAATGAGAAATAATGAATTACCTTTTTCTCCTTCTCTATAACCAAGAATAACAATGCAGAATGCAACTATTTAAATTATTCCCCTTCAAAAACTGATGATTTTGTTGATATGGTTACTTCTTTTTGTACACTGCTTTGGACAACGTAGGCACTTTGAAAATGAAGGATGTTATTTATAGAAAGCCGGCTCCCTGGTTTAATTCAGAGCTCCATACTTTGAAGCATAAACAGGAGAGAAAATAACACTTTACACGTTTACAGCATGGTAATTAATCTGGAAAATGGTCTACTGCTATTAGACTTACCCTTAGTAAAACAAAATTAGCATATTTCTCCTCATTAATAGAAGAGAATACGAAAAATCCCAGATTTGTAATACATTTGCCAAACTCACAAAAAACCATAGTTCTGTCCATTCCTCCTGCTCTTAGCAGTAATGATTCTGTGGGATTCTTTATAAATAAGATTGGTTATATCCCATCTGTTACAGGAATATATACCCCAGGCTATTAATGTATATGTAATTAAAAATCCAATAAAAGAAATTGTCTATCTGTCCAAAGGACTTAATTATTTATGGACCTATATCTAATCCTCCTTTCTTATCTGATATTCTTAAGAAAATGTTTGAAGGGTTTCACTTAGGTTTAAGATCTCATCCAAACCCTAATGATATTTTTATGGCCTTGGATAATGGACTTGTATCTGTACCTGACCTGTTAGGTCTTAGTGATGCACAATAACAATTAACACAAAACAAAACAAAATTAGACAGAACCACACACCCACAGAAATAATTTCCAGGGGGATATTAACGTGTTGTAATGGTTGCCCTTTACAACAACTTTGTCAAATTTCCAATCCATGCAAATCTATTTTATCTACTTCAAAAAATAACCTATCTATAAAGCCATTTTGCACCGGAAGGGGCAGTTGTTGGCAGCTAAAGGAGCTAAGGGGACAGGAAAGGACACTATGGGGCAACAAATAATAAGCGGGGAGAAAAAACAGGATCTAAAAGTAACTAGAAAATAACTTAAATAAGGCTAAAGGGAAATAAAACTAATGACTACAACATAAGGAATTACCTAGGGAAAAACTAGAGGATAAGAGACGGAGATAACTGAAGCCATGGAAAACCTAACCTATACATAAGAAAAACAATGACTAGACCAATGTATAAATAATAACAAAAACATTGAAGAGATAACAAGGAAGAAAAAAACTAAGAATACAAAAATTATCTATATCTATAGTCTAGTAAACTAGCCCCACCTGCCAGCAGCCAAAATAATTTTTACCTGCAAGTGGTCTAACCTCCATCAATGCCCCAGGCCCTAGAACTGGCGGGTCAATCACAATGCAGAGATGTGTTTTGAATTTCTGGATGCAAAGAGGGCGGGATTTTTTGGGTGTGACGACAAAGCTGTGCAACGCTGGAGAAAGCACAACAAGGAAGATGGAAACAACTATTGAACAGTTCTCGTTTGACTCAGTTTTTGAATCAGTTTGGAAGGATTAAACTTGGGATTTTCATTGAAACGTGAGCAGGAAGGATGTATTTGTCGTTTTAACAACAGGCTGTTTGTTTACACTCCCCCACTAGCTTTCTGTCATTCTACAACGTCACAGTCAGTTGCGCTCATTAGTCAGAGCGTTGGCATAGAGGCACAGACATGATTTGAAAAAAAAAAAACGGATTGTCTCATTCATCGGGGCCAGACTAAATTACACATTTATCTCACATTTAGTCTGGCTTATCAGGCTACTATATCTAGACAAAACAGAAAAAAACGAAAGAAACTTGAGAACCCAAAAAAATAAATACTTAAACAGAAACAAAAGGTCCAAAATGTAAGATCATAACAGCAATAGCGACATGTAAATACTACTTAAATTAAATCAGAGTAAAGTGGGCACAAAAAAATTCTATGAATAGTCATGAGTTCAAGTTCCCATCAATTAAAGGTATAGAGGAGGATCTTTCTCTATTTCTGGGTGAGTCATCTAAATAAGTGGTCCTCCTAATTGTCGATCATTCTGGTGATACCGTAAATCCTCTAATATAGGCCCGGGCCTTTATTTCACTCAAGTGCATCGCGGTCCAGGCCTTTATTGGAAAGAGGCCAGAATTAGAGACAGGCCTCTATTGCTATTTGAGCAAAACAGACTACCAGTGGAATGAATAAAAATGAGATTTTGTGTCTATTTGAACCTATAAGGTTTGAAGTAAAAAAGAAAAAAAAAATCCTCCAATTCTGTTTAATCCTCCTCCTCAGTTTTTCTCCTCCTCTTCATCTCTCCCTTTAATCTCCTCATCACTCGCGCTCCTCCTCATGTTCTGCTGCGTGTCTGTTCTCTTACTTGCGCAGACCGGCAGCAGTCAGGGCCTGTCGTCCAGCAGCGCAGGGCTGTGGTACTTGTATGTTACTACCACAAGTATAATGTTGAGGTATGCCCAGAAAAAACGTTTATAGCCCCGGCCTGTATGAGAGACCGGCCATTATTTACCTCCTCTGACAGCGAGACCGGCCAATGTTAGACTCCCGGCCGCCAATGGAATACAGGCCAATATTAGAGAATTTACGGTATTTTTAGGTAAGGTCTTCCTAGGTGCGTGTCCCCAGTTAGCTATCTGTTTCTGTGCATGCGCACTCAGGCGTATATCTGTGGTGAGCTACAGTTTCAGTCATTGAATCTCACCTTTCTCTCCTCAGTTCTTTGAAAATGACAGAGGGTTGTACGAGGAAAACGTGCCTACAAAGTGTATGAGAAGAAAAGAAAGGCCTCAGAGAGGCAGATATATCCCAGAATTCTTTGCTCCTCACAAAGCTTTATGGGATTTGCTGTCACAGTGGCTGGATGTCACTAGCCGATAGCGGCGACTAATAACAAAAATGGCACAAGTACTGCACAGTGAAGGAGGAGTTCCGTTACAGACGGAGAAAAAAGCAGTGATCATTTGTCCACTATATAGTCCTCACTCTATATAGTGATTGAGGGATTTGGGGGTTAGGGCGGACGTTCGAGCACAGTTTGTATGAGCTATGAGAACAGCAACTGTTAAACAGAACGTGCACATGGAGAAATGGGTTTTAAAAATTCGCTAAAATCCTCCACAACACCTTAAAGATTAATTTTGCTAATCAATAACTAGTTCTAATTAATGCTCCCATTTTTCTGTTGTACATCATATTATTAAAAAGAATAATACAATTTTTTTTTTATTGTAGTCACTTAAGGGATCTTAATACTCATCTCATGGCATCTTAGGAGTATAGCAGAAAATTAGAAAACAGATTATACAAAGTTCCTTTCTTAGAAATATTTAAATTAATTAAGGGTTATGAAAAAAATATAGCAACCAATTCTGTAAAGCAGCAGATCTCCCATCTTTCTAAAAAAATTCCAAAGCATTTTAATGCTTTTTCCTGTGTTATCAGGAAAACAAGTATTAATCTTATTTAACAGTTAGGAGTTTGGTTGTCTTCATTCAAGCAGCAATTAGAAGTCTGTTATTAGTCCATTTCTGTTGTTCTGTCTGTTCTGATCAAACAAAGGATTGCAATAACTATTTAAAACTCAAGCAAAGAGATGCTAGAGTTTCAAATGCAGCCTAATCAAAATAAGTTACAGACAGATTTCCACAAATAGATGAATGTTGACTAACCTTGGACCCAAGGGAGTCTAGCTCTATTTCAAAACCTCTCACATTGGAGAACAGCTTCTCAGGCCTCAGTTAGATAAGCATCATGCCTAGCCTTGTCTTGTATGGCCGGAGCGGATACGTTTGTTCAATAAAGAATAAAAATGGCTCAAATCAGCGTATGAATTGGACAAATGAATTAATATATAAGAAAATATTTGGGTTATTTTCAGTTTGCACCAAACCTTTTAAACATGATCATATGTGTTGTGGAAAACTGAAATGCATATCACATTGAAAATATCATCCCCCCAGTTGCACATGGTGGTGGTACTATGTTGGGAGGCCTTTCTTCAGTGGGAACAAGTTGATTTAGAAATGGTTGGAGCTGAATCCAGCCCGATGCTAAAATAAACCCTTTTAGAGGAAGGGTGGAGTCACATGCATTCACAGCTACTATGTGATGGTTTAATTTAAAGAATATTTACTGTATATGTTAAAAGGATCTCATCAAAGTCAAGATCTAAAGACAACTGAGAATCTGTGGCAATAATAGAAAATCCATCCATCCATCCATCCATCCATCCATCCATCCATCCATCCATCCATCCATCCATCCATCCATCCATCCATCCATCCATCCATCCATCCATCCATCCATCCATCCATCCATCCATCCACTGAATGACTGAGATGTTTTATATTTTATGACAAACTTACAGCAACGTGAGAGCGATGGATATAGGGAATCCATCCAGCAATGACTCCAGGAAAACCTACAAGAACGAAACGTGTGATTCATTGGAAAACACCAACAGCCCTTTCCTTGCGATGATTTACAGTCTATTGTTCTTGGTGAGCATCTTGTTTCCAGGTTGTCCTAAACATAAATAATTTAACTTAAATTTGTTCCTATCTTCTCACGTGATAACTTTCTTTTTAGGTGGGTTTGATCCTCAACTGCTTCACTTTGAGGTTTCACTGCCGTGGAAATCGTATTCAGGTTTTAAAGAGCTGGATGATCTACCTGAAACATCTGACAGCTGCTGACTTTTTACTATGTGCAAGTCTCCCGATGCGAATTGTGAAATTCACCAGCAGCTCAAACAATATTTTCGTGCTCTACTGCAGCATCGGAGCCCCACTCCTGTTTGTTAACATGAGTGCTAGCATCCTATTCATGGGCTTCATTGCAGCTAACAGGTAACAGAACTTAATTACCCACCAGATGAACAGTTTAGACCTTTTATCACACATAAGATTTTTGGAGCCTAGACCCTCATAAATTACTGCCAAAAACAAATGAAAATGGATAAAGTTAAAATTAATTATTATCTACACCATAAGTCAAATGCTTAGAAATCCTGTCTTTCATTTAATATCTTTAAAATTTTCCTGGAACACCTTCAACATTTTTCGGATGACATGTGAAGCATTACAAAAAAATGCCTAGATTGATTACAGCAAAAAAGGGAAATTATGGAAGCAAATCGTTAACATATTTCAAATGAAAAAGCATTTTCACCAATTTTTTTTTTTTTTTCAGAATGTGGCTGCATGGTTTGACTCATAAATGAAATTAGTAATCACTTATCCTATTTGCATTTTCATTTTCTTCATTAACACTGCTCATCCTTTTATCTAATTAAAATGAAAAAGAAAAAGACAGTTGAGATTTATTTTTCAAATGTACCCCAGCAAATACATACCAAAATTCTATTTGAAATGTAAAATTTGAAAATGAAAAAGCATTTCCAGAAATGTGTGTGGCTGCATTACTTGACTCATAAATAAAATTAGTAAACAATCATCCTATTTGCATTTTCTTCTTTAAGACTGCACATTTTATGCTATAGTCAAAGAGAAAACACAGCAGACATTGCTTTTTTGTTTTCGTGGTCTGCCAGCAAAGTACTGTCCATAATTTAGAAACGAAAAAGCATTCTGAGCGGCGGGCGCAGCAGAGTGACCTCAACAACTGCTCTTCCTTCCTTGCTGACCGAGCTACCCATCTTGTTCGGTAGGGGGGCGCTGTGCACGTCTGCATTGCATTACATTATAAGTTTGCCGGTGGGACACTGGTGGAATTGCCTGGTCTGACTATTGGGACATACTGAACGACCACAATGACCAAAACAGTGGCAGAGCTACAGAGGGAGGCCACTGCTGCTTTAGAGCAAGTGCCTGCTTCTAACGGACCTGTGGCAACGCTGACTGCTTCTTAGTTTCCCGCCAGTACAGATGATTCATTACTAATTTTATTTATGAGTCAAATAATGCATTCACATTTTTAAAATTAAAAAGCAATTTTGGAAATGCTTTTTCCTTTTTTCAAATTTTACATTTCAAATTGAATTTTGGTATATATTTGCTGGGGTACATTTTGAAAAATAAATCTCGAATGTCTTTTTCTTTTTCATTTTAATTAAGTAACAGGGAGTGGTGTTAAAGAAGAAAAGGAAAATGCAAATAGGATGATTGATTACTAATTTCATTTATGAGTCAAACAATGCAGCCACATTCTGAAAATGAAAAAGCATTTCTGAAAAGGCTTTTTCATTTGAAATACGGTAACAATTTGCTTCCATATTCAATCTCTTTAGATCTATTAGTCCGAGCAGCAGTTCCCAATCTTGGTCACCTTAGTTTACCATAGAAAACTATGGTAAACTAAATAGTGCAATGTAAACGGAGTAGTAAAATGAGAGATCCATCTCCACCTCAGCTCATTCTTTAACCCCAAAGGCTTGAGCACTGTCCTAATTGTGGGAGATAAAGCGTCAATCCATCCATCTATTCTTACTGCTGCTGTCAATCCCTAGAACAATAAAGGCTATCTTGCATCATCCTCAATAACGGTAAGCTGCGAGCAAAAGGCAAAACATCAAGCAAAGCCAGCACCAGGCTCAGCAGAGATGATCATTATAAAGGATTACATTTTGGTTCCAATTCGCAACATATTTGACTGTGTAGAATTTCAGGCCTTAAAAAGTCCAGAAATTAAGAATATCAATCATTAAAAAGAAATGTCAGTGCATCTTTCTTCTTCTCCATAGGTATATGAAGATCTTTTATAATTCAGGAACTCACTTCCTGATGACTACCAAAGCCAGCCACATCATTTCAATTTCCACCTGGATTTTTCTCCTGAGCATAGAAACACCATACAGCATCCTGCTGCTAAGCTCCGATGTACCAACTAAAAATCTCAGCACCTGTAATGATCTGCTAACTAACCATACAAAACCACTGTATTACGTCATCCTTACTATTAATTTTAATTTCTTCTTTGTAGTGCTCTTCTCTTTACTCTTCTTTTACTGCAGCGCCTGCTGCAGGGTGAGTGAGATCCAGCAGAAGCAGCTGGGATCCCCTAACTCCAAAAAACTTGTAAAATCTCGCAGGAATATGTTGGTGTTAGTCTGTGTTTTCTGCTTTTGCTTTGTTCCTTATCATGTTGTTCGAATTTTGTACATTCTATTGCAAGGACACTGTTCAAAGACATTTTACTACATTAAGGAGGTGGCTGTCTCATTATCAGTTTGTAATATCTGTCTGGATCCTCTTATGTATGTTTTTCTTTGTAAGGGCTTCAGGGCTCAGCTTAACCTGAATCGCATGCTATCCGCAAAAGACAACAAAAATACCTTGGCTTTAGAGAAACGAAACAGGGGGATCAATGAAACACCATCACACCCGCAGATCTCCTGGGTCACTAACAGTGAAACAATAAACAATTTAACAATCCATACAATTTCTTACAAATCAAACATATAATATGACTGTTCCTTACATTTTTTTTTACAGCAGCTCAATTGTCTGTACTGCTCTACCAGTCTACTTTTAGATCATGATCTGAGGCCTGCGGTCCATCTCATGAAGGTTTAACAAACTCAGATTTAAATCTGCAACCTTAAATTGTTTAAGCGTAATATGAGAAACTCTGAGTTTTCACTTTCACAATGGCTGCTATGAATTAGTTCAATCAACTCCAAGTAGAACCACTCAGAGTTTAGCTCATGCAAACAAGTATGACAAGCCATTATCAGTGGAGTACCGATTCGATGAGTCACAATGACAACAGGAAGTTCCTATTTCGCCCCACTGGAACTAGAAATGCAAAAATGAAAAAAAAAGGAGAATAGGTTTAAAAGACAGAGATATAGTGCTACAGCTGCAAAGCAGAGGAAGATAGCGAAGGAGAAGATTGTTTCTTGAGTTAATGAGTAATTTTATATGAAGTGGTTATGGCAGGCCGTTTTTAGATTTAATGAAAGCACTCTCCCTGCAGTTTGTTGTAGAATCATTAAAATAAGATTCTTCCTGATCAAAATCCCACCCTAGACAGAACTGTACTAAAAATTTTTCTAAATTAAATTTTTGTAGCAGAAATTGAATTTCAGAAAGTAAAAAAAAAAAAGAAAATTATACTACCTAGAAATATTTTCACATTTTAAGTGACTGTTTTGACATTTATCAGTTTGAGTGAATATGTATTTATGATATCTGAAATACAGTTTCTCATATATAAAATATTACAAATGCTGATCAGTAATATAAGGAATATGAAAATCTGAAGTTAATTTCTAGACATCTAGAATGTTTATGCTAATGACATTTCGTTTGAAATGGTAATTTAGACACATTTCTTTTTCAGATATCAGCAGAGATGGCAAAAGTACTCACTTTCCGTACTTGAGTAAAAGTACAGATACATGTGTTAAAAAATACTCTGGTAAAAGTGGAAGTACTGATTAAACTTCTTTACTCAAGTAAAAGTAACAAAGTACAGGCTTGTAAATTTACTTAAAGTATAAAAGTAAAAGTAGAAACCACTTTTTTCATGCCGTTGCCTACATTTTAAATGGATGTCTGCCAATAGGACTAGATCTCCGTTGTGTTCATTTTCAATCATCTCGTCGTCCATACTACTATGCTAACGCCACCGCCACCAAGCTGCAATGATTTGCCGCGAATGAATACCGCCGAATCTGTCGATTCATCTTGTAGTGGTGCGTCAAATGCAACGTAGATTCCCATCCAATTAGATTGAATTTGGTATTGATGACATGAAAAATAATAATGGTAACTCCATTGAAATGATTCAAAACTAAAGTAACGAGCAAATTTTTTTAAATGTAAGGAGTAGAAAGTACAGATATTTGTGTAAAAATGTAAGGAGTAGAAGTAAAAAGTCGCCATAAAAATAAGTAGTAAAGTAAAGTAAAAATATCAAAAAAATATACGTGAGTACAGTAACGAAGTATTTGTACTTCGTTACTTCCCATCTCTGGATATCAGGAATAAATATTCAGTAAAACTAATACATATCAAAATGGCTTGCCACAGTATGTTGCCACCGCAATAATATAATGGGATTATTTCTTTAATGGTAAAAGATCAATGTATCTATTTAGGTGAAATCTTCTGGTCTAAAAGCGTTGTTCTAATATATAAAACATATGCATCATCTCATGGGTCCCTCCTCATGTTGATTCAGTGTTCTTTTAAACAGTAAATATTAAGAGGCTGTTTGCAGCCATGCTTCGGGTGTTATCATCCCAATAAATGGATGTTATTAGTTGGTATCAGTCCTGTAGAATGGCTTCAGATTGTGCCAGTAGACTCAGCAGGTTGTCATCATCGAGTAATTCCTTTTGCTCCTGCGGAATTAATAAATCTATTTAAGTGTAATCTGAAAATAATTTCAATTCTTCATGTACTGTAAATATAAATTAAATGATAAGCATCTCGCACTATTCTATTAAACAAACCAAAAACACACAACCTCTTGTTCAGTCAACTGAGTTGCAGAATCCTCTACCTGTAAATATTTAACTCTCTGTGAAAAAATTCGGATCATTTTTTAATAAGAGCCTCATCAAATGGAGATGCAATGTTTGTTTTTAAAACCTCATTCACGGACCTAGTGAATTATTTTATTTTCTTTATCCACAAAATAAGACAATAATAAGGCTAAATCAAGAAATATAACAACGTGATTGGCTGTAAAGAGAACAGAGACAAAGGACACTCTGAGTTAACTGTACAAACCTACTCCTGACCGGGTTAGCTCTGGGGAGAATGTTGCTACGGTGACTGAAACAGAGGTTGAGTAAACTCTCTTTGTGAAACAAAAAATTCAGAGTTTCCCATATTCAGGTTTAGAAAAGTTTTAATTAAACGTCCTTTGTGAAACGGACCCCTGAATGATGTCTGCACCCTAAGTGCACAAAAAGGGTTATCACAGATCTTTATATCCATTATTGTTCTTAAGTAGGTCAATATGTTTTTACATCTCTGCTGTAAATTGTATTTTTTTCCAGATGTTTTGTTGTGTTTTTCAGGCACAATTGGTATATTAACAATGTGTATATTTTTTTCACTTTGTCCTACTTAGTTGCATGTTCATTTGATCAAATAATTTACTATTTATTTTTTATATACAGCTGGTAAAACAACTCTCTTCACCATCTTTCTTTGTATATTTCTAGATGTGCTTTTGACATGACATTTTCAACAGACGTTGGCAACAATCCATGGAATCCACACATACTAAGAAATCAAGAAATTAAGTTATGTTTGTAATAACAGGAAATGGCACAGGGAAAAAGTATTAAACTTACTGAAATGGATTTTATGCTTTGTACAAAAGCCTTTCTTGGCAATGACAGCTTCGAGATGCCTCCTGGAGAAATTAGTTGCAGGTATAATTTTGGCCCATTCTTCCACATAAACAGTCTTAAATCTTGAAGGTTCTTGTGCCTCTTATACAAACTCTGATCTTCAGTTATTTCCATAGATTATCTGTTTGCTTCAAGTCAGGTAATTGGATGAGCCATTCTAGTAGCTTTATTTTATTGCTCTGAGACCAATTGAGTTTCCTTGGCTGTGTGTTTAGGGTCATGGTCTTGCTGAAATGTCCACCCACATTCATAGAGGGCAGCAGCTTTTTATCCAGAATTTCTCTGTACATTTTTCCATTCATCCTTCCTTCAATTATAATTCATTTAAATTTGCCAGTACCATATGTTGAAAAATATGCCATGATATTCCCACTTCCAAACTTCACTGTTGGTATGAGGTTTTTGGGGTGCTGTGCAATGCAATATGACCTACAAAGATGATGTGTATTATGGCATCCAAAGAATTCTATTTGGGTCTCATCTGACAAGGCTATAGACCAAGACAAACTATATTCTCCCAGTATTGTCTAAATGTTGTGCATCTAACTTTAAATGAGCTCCATCATGTGTTTTCTTCAGCAATGGAGTCTTGTGTGGTGAGCATGCATACAGGCCATGCCGATTTAATGCATTACTTATTGTTTTCTCTGAAACAATTTAACCAGCTCATTCCAGGTCTTTCCAAAGCTCTCCACAATTTGTCTTTGGCTCTTCTGATAAATATTTTCTCTCCTTTGTCAGAAATCTTGCAAGGAGCACCTGGTCTTGGTTGGTTTATGGTAAAATGATGACCCAAACAGTGCTCACTGAAGCATTCAGAAGCATAGAAATCCATTTATAACCAATGCCATAATTAAGGTCTTGAGAAACTTTTACCCATCATGAGATGTTTCTTGTTTGATACCAGAGATATCTATTTATAGGCCATCCTTTGGGACTGAACCACCTGATATTAATTTGCACTGAGTAGGGGCAGGATTGGTTTCTAATTACTGAGAGATTTCGTCTGGTGTCTTGAATTTCCATGCCTTTTTGCACCCCCCTTTCTTCAGATGTTCTATACTTTTAACCTCTGCCATTTCATATTATTACACATAACTAAATTTCTGGACATCTATGATTTGATTTCTTTGTATGTGTTGAATGCATGGATTGTTAAAGTAAAATATGGTACAATGAAGGTACTAAAACTGTATTTGTTGGTCATGGTATGTGGTTATCATATCAATCTGGTAAATGTATGAACATTACAGAATTAATTAAAGTGGTGATCCTGGATATTTGGAGGACAACATCCTGACTGTTCTTTTATAGGTTGAAGACTGTTTTATTTCCCAAATAATCCTAAAACTAGATATAAGTAAATGCTTATCAAGAGCTTGCCACAATAAATTAGACATGGGTTTCCCAGAATTCCATCCATCCATTTTCTTCCGCTTATCTGGGGCCGGGTCGCAGAGGCAGCAGTCTAAGCAAAGATGCCCAGACTTCCTGATCCACACACACTTCCTCCAGCTGCTCTGGGGGGACCCCGAGGCGTGTCCTGGGCATTCCACGAGGCCTCCTACCAATAGGACATGCCCGGAACACCTCCGAGGGAGGCGATCAGGAGGCATCCAAAACAGAGCTGGCTCCTTTCGACGTGGAGGAGCAACGACTCTACTCTGAGCTCCTACTGGGTAACTGAGCTCCTCACCCAATCTTAAAGGGTGCACCCAGCCACCACGTGAAGAAAACTCATTTCGGCAGCTTGTATTCGCAATTTTGTCCATTCTGTCAATAAGCAGATCTCATGACATTAGGTTGGGGTGGGAACATAGATCGATCGGTAAATCAAAAGCGCTGTGCCTCCTGACTTTGCTCTCTCCTTACCACGGCACTACAATAAAGCGACCGCATCACTACCTACGCTGCACCAATCCCTCTATCAAAAGTCACGCTCCAACCATCCCTCACTGGGTAACAAGACCCCAAGATACTTGAACTCCACAGGGGACAAATACTCTTTCCCGACCTGAAGAGGGGAGTCCACCTTTCTCCGGTGGAGAACATTTGGAGGTGCTGATCCTCATACCGGCTGCCCCACACTTG